GGCTAAGAGGGGGTTTCTTATTTTTTATGTTAAATGCCTCAGTTCTGTGACTGCCTCTCTCCTGAGGATTCTGTGATCATGATGCCTGCTGAGTCTTCGGCAGTTATTTGGCAGAACTGAGAATCTCTCAAAAACTGAAACCCCGACTGCTCCAAAGTAACATGAAGCACCCAGATAAGAAGGCAGCTGAATCGAGGACTCAATTAAGCTCTCTTTCAAGGATTTCCAGTTAACTAAAATCTGAACAGCCCTCTGCAGAGTCTTCTCTGCTCTAGGACAACTATCCCACTAAATTCGTAATGTCATGGGAAGCCTAAAAGCAGTAGGGGATGACATGGAACTGGGCATGAATCCAAAACTTTGTTTTTTTCTTCTCTGTCCACTAAAGAGATTTATAACCTTTCTAGCCAGAGCAAGTGTGGTCAGGATGAGTGCCGCAGTGCAGGAAATGCCGAGGAGATGGATGGTCTGAAACTCTATTCCTGTCCCAAACGACAGGCACTCTGTGCCTAAGAACGATGCCCAGCTGACATTAAGGGCATGAAACCCATCCTCAACTTTGGCATCTCTTTGGATCGGCCCAGCAAGTTCATTCTTTTCTTTGAGATGCCAGCTTGTAGCATCTGCCTTGACCTGGTAGTTGCGATACTCTCCCAAGAAGTGAGAGAGCCCATCCAATGCTTTCTCAGACTGAGGAGACACCTGCTCTATGGGCCACAGAAGAAATTTAGGAACTTAAGGTAGCTTATCAATAGACAGTTCTAGACAGTGGGGTGTCTCAGAAGTTGAGAAGAGGTTCTGTGCAACGCTGTAGTAAAGTTAGATAATCGTAAACGTCTAAACATCTTTGTGATCATAGACCTTAGTAACAAATTTTGGCAACAAAAAAAAGCAGTATTTCCTCCCTGTCACAGAGGGGGAAAAGGGCAGTCATAAAGTCAAATGGCATATCCTCAGAAAACATTGTTAGCAGCAGAAGTGGTGAAAGAAGCTATAAGTAAGACCAAAGTACTAGATTTCATGAGATATGGTCACACAAGCTCAGCCTCAGTCTCTGGCCAGGCATGCTCTCTCAGCTTTTTCAAAATGTGAAGAAAAACATCGTGACTTCTAACTTCTTCACTGAGTCCCAGCTTCCAGTTCCCAGCTCTTATCATTAAATGTACAGCCCATGATTTATATCTCCGCTGCTAATTTAGGACCGCCATATACAAAATACTCTTCCTGTTACTGCTCTTCTCCAGTGTACTTTTAAAGGTCTGAAGTACTGCACTGGATGACAACTGTGCATAAAGTGAGTCATTATGAATGAGGGATTGAGAAGGAATCCTGATCTGTATGCAGGTCAATGTACAACCACTGTCAACTGCCCAGAAAAAGTCAGTACACTTATTACACAGAGAACATAATTTCTATTGCTGCTTTGTATAATCAACTTCCCAATGATTCTAGTGAAGATCATGCATGTCAAGATGTCAACTAACAAACAGAGAGCAGTGTGAACATCACTGATTTCAATTTGAGGAGACTGAAGGACAACACCAGATAACTTAATTCCTTTAAGAAAGATTTTGCATCCAAGCATAATACTGTTTTGATGAGCCTGGGATTGTACTGATGCATCAGTGAGATCCCTCTGGGAAACGCTGCATTCCCCAAATGCAGATAACCTGACTTACCTATTCATTTCGCTGCAGTCAGCAAATATGTCTTATGGTACGTGGTTTGTTGCCTCTTGATTAGCCAGAAATACTTCGTCCAGTTTAAATAGGTCAAGAGTGAGACTGTATCACACATTAAGTTCTGTTTCACATTGCAGCACAGGCCATTTCCTTCTTCCCACTATCCTCAGACAGTAAGAGGTTAAGAGAGCTGCCCTATAATGGCTTCATTAGTTGCCAGAACTGGGAGAATGAAGTCCTTTGCTAGGGCTCATTAAGAGGTGAAGGGAGATAGCATGCCAAAAGCCTGGGATACAGAGGATCTGTGATGGGAGACCCTGGAGAAAAGGGGTTAGGATGAGTGGTTCCTTAATTGTCTTTCTTGTGCTAAGCATTGCCTTGGACTTTTTAGCTGAACTGGGTTATAAAGGACCTTTTTGTATTTGCTTGTGCAACAGTTCTAAGATGCAAAAAGGAAGGGATTTAATTCTCCTATGGAGAAACCAAAATGCCACTTTTGCTGCTCAGTACAGGTTATCTCTGGACTTATCTCTGCACCTTTCTTTAAAAGACTTCTTTTTTTATATTTGGGAATCTACCAAAAAAGAAGTGCATACTGAGGGAAAGGAGATCCTAAGAAACTGTGCCCTGCATGAAAGGGTGAAGCATGTTTAAGAAGCATTTTTTCAGAGTGAAAAATCTGAGGCAGTATGGCAGCAGCCCTGTCTCAAGATATACTGGCAGTGGGCACACACATAAAGCAAAAAAAAAACCCCAACCATATCATTACTTCTTCCTACAATGAAGTGCAGAGTAGAGTTCGCAAGCAGTTGAATCGCAGAACTTGTCTATGAAGACACAGGCTAAGTGGAATGAAAAAAGAGAATATAAACAGGAACCAGAAGTCTCTCTAATATTATTATCTTGTGAAAACTAAGGGTTTTATCCAGCAATCTGTGTTCCTCTAAGATTCCTGCTAAAGGCAGGTGAAATCTACCTACTTAGCTGAAAGACTGAGTCTAAGGTTCAAAGATAGTCTAGTTTTAATTTCTACATATGACAATCCACAGACTTTCACCTAGCTGCTTCCATACTGACTGATACCTTCTAAATTAATACAGCATACAGCATTTCAGATAGGTATTAGTCTTGACTTCAAGGTGTTAAGAGCTGGAAAACCCACTGTGCCTCCTTGTATTTTATTCTGGGTTTCCAGATGATTCTGCTGTTCTCAGGGTTTGCTAGTCAGTGTGGTTTACAAAAGGGGCTGTCCTTGGCACTAGCCGACGTAGGCACAGTCCTATAGATTTCACTGGGACGGAACACAGTCCTGACTTCTTTGCTGAGCTGAGGTTGATTTATGCAAGTACTTAATTCTTTCACTTAACAATTCTTCTGTTCTATTTGGTCCTGTTTTATAGGACAATAAAAATCTGGCCCCTTTAGTCCCTTCTACAGAACCTCCACCCCACTGGCGCGGGCAGTGTGTTGTTACGTGTGCTAACGTGCTTGCTCACTCTATTTTAATCATGCAGGAAGAGTACCACGCATCCTGTGAGTAAATTTGTCTTTCAAATCAAGTCATCAATTCAGTGGAAAGGTCTGGGTTAGAAATGGAGGTTTACAAATCACCTCAGCTGTGATTGTAGCTGTGAGGCACAATAACCTGAATGTTACAAGCAGCTCAGTGAAGAAAAAGGTCTTGGAATGATGCTCAAGTTTGTCTCAAATAACCTCACACTGCCAAAGAAAGTTTGCACTAGATGGATTTATAAAAGCAGTATAAGGAAAGCTTATAAATCATCTGTACATGACCCTGCAGGTTAACAAAGGGAAAGCGAATTCTGTTTGCGTGTAGAAATGAACATTTTTCCAAATCCATCCCTGCAATCCCCAAACCTCCATATAAACTCAGAATAATGACTCAATTATGAACTACACTATAAAATCACTAGAAATACACGACTACCTTTCCCCTTACGGTGGTCTTATAAATGAACTCATAGAGTATGGAATTGAAGATGTTAATACGGGGAAAGGAAAAGCCTGACACCGCATTTATCCACCTATCAATGCAGGATAGCTTCTCTCCTTACAGCTGCAAAAGTTTTGATCAACCTAGTTTTAGCCCCAGGCAAGTAGGCCTCCTCTTTTGGTTATTCTTCAGCCCAGTCGATTTTACTTTATGACAAGCTTTCTAACATCTAACCTAAATGATGATTGTTGAAGAGGTTTTCTTTTTGTATCCTTTGTACCAGTTTATTCAGTTTGCCCCATCCTTGGAAGTTTCTCTCTTAAAATACTTGCAAGCAGTTCACCTGCTTTTCTTTACTTATGATAGTAATTCCTCAGTTTACTTAATTTTTCTACTATATCCACTCTCCTAATAGATTCTTTTTTTGTCGCTTTGCTGAAATTTCATTTCATTTCATTGCCTCTACAGAGCTGCCCTGGGTATTTGGCCTAGTTCCACCCCAGCTGTGTAAAGAAGCTGTTATTGCTGTGGTCTCTTGTTTGTGAGCACAATATACAGCACAAAAGCCAAAAGACTAATGTTCCATACGTTCTGACTAGTTAATGTACTATAGCATTTTTCAGTGTGGCATCTAAAAGCTAATTGCATTTAGAGGAAAAGAAAAGGCTCCTGAATAGTTTTTCTTTAGCCTTCATTTCAGATACCTGATGCAGATTTTGAGCAAGATGCCCATTCAGCTGAGGAACGAGGGAAGGTCCCAGTTCCAAACCTCTACACAAAACTGCCCATAAAAATCTGTCTTCTTGGTAGGTGCTTGTACTATTAAATACTTCTACTCAGTAAACTTATTTTTTACTTCAGAGAGGACAGTGAGAACTTTTAATATGACCTTCATGTGACACTCATCCTCCTCTAGCTGAGCCTAGAAAAGCACAGCCTTTGAATTCAGAAGGGAAATGAGACCTGGAGGATTTTCACCTCTTCCTTCTTGTTTACAGCCACCTAAAGAATATTTAGTCATCTCCTAAAAATCAAAACAGACCCTCTGGTGGCTACCGGGATTCATCAAGAACTAACACCAGAACAAGCAGTTATATGTAGACCATCAATTACATTCATAGCAATATAATGAACAATAGCAAGCCTAGGTGGCTTTAATGGGGTTATTTATTATATTACTCTATGCTCAGCAATGGAAGCAGAATTATTTATGTAGTTGAGCTATGGCATTTCTGCTTCCAGTCATGCCCTACATGTGCCTTACTGGAACACATTTGTAGTACTCTTTTTTGCAGATCTAAGTCTGAATATTTTACAAAGTTTAAATAAAATAAAACCCAACAGTAAGTCACCGCTGACGTTACCGATTGAGCAATCATGTCCAGTCCAGTTGGGATCGCAGCTGCAGAGTCCAGTGTCTGGGAGGAAGGTCCCGTGACCAGAGCATTGGTCCAGACAAGTGGCTCTTGGGGTCTCACAGTTTGTTCCTCCCCAGCCAACAGAACAGTGACATTCTCCTCGCACGCACACGCCTCGTCCCGAGCAGGTAGGATCCATGCAGTCCACTACACGTGAGACGGAAGAGGAAGCAGACAGGGAAAGCAAATGAGAATTTCAGAAAAAAGCTATCAGCCTGCCATCTACACAAGCTTATTTACGTAGTATCTCAAGGCTCCAGCCAAGAAGCAAAGCCCTGTTGTGCACAAACCAGATGCTTCACGTGAGAAGATAGTGTCCCAAAAAGGCAGTGAGACATAAAACACTTACAGGAAAAACAGAGAAAAATTTAATGATTAAATCCATCTTTTATCCAGGCCTACGCTAATAAATGATCCTTCTAGTAAGAACAGGCTAATATCAATTAAGAATAGAATAAGAATAATATTCTCCTGCACACCTATTGTGCCTCCATTTATTCTATTAGAATAACCTAAATTACTCTTACTAATGAATTCAAAGCTGAGCTCTAGTTTTCTGAGAGAGAATTTTACACAAAGATTCAGCAGCAGTTGACGTCCTTATTCAGCAAAATACATGCTTAAAATGAAGAATGCGCTGAAATCTATACAGGTTTCACAGACACTTACATAAATTTCACATTAAACATATCCTTAGACAGTTTTCTGGAGTAAGGATTAAAAGAAAATCATATATTTTTGGATATTGGTGTTCTTCTGGTTTCATTTTTGATCAGTTAATACTCTTTTTTAAATGGTGCTTTTTTTCGCCCAAAGAGGCACTTTTCTAACAAGACCGGAGACCATTCCGTTAGGTGCACGGTATAGCAATGTGCACCAAAAGACCGAATGTACTGCTGCCTGATTCCCGAGTTACGTGTTTTGTAGGCAACTGTCAGCTCCTCTGCCCAGGGGGGAATTTCACCCAGCAATCGAAAAATATGAAACGCACCAGACACCCTCCCAAAGAAGGACTGGAGGAGCTGAGCATCTCTTTATATATAAAAGCACATAGGACAGCCTAGAGAAATTCTTCCCATCTCTTGCAACGGTGCGTGGCAGTGCCCTGGAGATCAGTGACAAGCGTCAGTCCGGCTAAGCGGCAAGGGGAAAGCTGTCCAGGTCCTGGCTCTAATACAGAAGAGCAGAACACGGCCACCGCACACACAGCAGGTTTGTGGTTCGTTTTTTTTCCCTCCTGTAAAAGCTAATAAGAATCCCAATGACCTGTTTAAGATCCAGAAACCTTAAAAGGAAACACAACAGCTGCTCTGATAATTCCCCGGATTCTCAAAACCTTCTCAGTCTGACAAGTAATGGCTCAGCAATTACTATCCCAAGGCATGTGAGAGCATTTTCTGTTTTGTTTGATTCCTGGAGCCCTGCTCATAGCTGGAACAATCCTCGAAAATTGTAAGAGGCTGGAAAGGATGAGTCTATAAATCTCCTTCACTGTTAGCGAGCTGGGAGCGAGGGTGCCAATTTTAGCATGAGACCCTTGGAGCCCTGGCCCTGTTCTTTCTCAGCAGCAATAAGTAGGAAAAGGACTAAGAAACGGACTAGCAGCCCCGTACGTTCTCAGCAGATGGTTTGAACATAGAGAACAAAGATCACAGGCTAACTGACAAGAGGCTACCTCCAGGCAATTAATCATCCCCTCTGAAGGTCAATTGGGAAAAAGGTGAGTTTTACAGGGGGCTCCATCAGAGGAGGCAGACAATCTGCTATCTCAGCTCTAACACAGATGATTATAGGAGGGGAATGTGCATGTCAGAACCCCCCATTTATCATAATCCCAAGGCCATTTTTCATGTTGAAATGAGCCCTTTCAGAAAATGTCACACACAATGGCTACTTTAATCTCAGCCTCACTAGCTGTATCTCTTTAGGGTTTCTGCACCATCGGAAGGGCCTTGGGACAGGATTACAGGCTTCTGCTTTCTTCTTAATCAATTGCTTAGTGGATTTGGAGTACAATGGTATATTTTTAGGGAGTTCTGCTTGACAAATTTAGCTGCTCAGCTCTGGGAGAAGCGGAGATGGGGAGCAGGGCAGGAGGGCAGAGCTGACAAAATCGAGTATACTTGGGAAAAGAAAAAAAAAAAAAGAGAGTTTTGCATATATCTGTGTGGCTGCTTGGAAAATGTCCCAAATGGTCTAATTCTTGGTTGGAAAATGCCCCATTTATAGTTCAGCCTTGTGCAGAACCTTTGCCAGGGAGATAAATCATGCAGCAAGCAAGGGTAGTGCCTCTTCTACACTTTTCCCCAATATGCTTCATGCTTCATTGATCACACAGGTTATTAGGCTTATTTGGTACCCAAAGAGTAACTTCTCATTTTTCACCGCTTAAATTTGCTCCCCTCCCTTTAATGTCTCACTGGCTTAGCCCATGCTTTATAAAATATGGGCCAATAAACTAAGGAAGGAGAAAAGAAAAACTCATGTAAGATTGTTGGCTGATGTTTTATAAACATTGCTGAACTTCCATGGGGGGAAAAGAAAAGACAGAAGAAACCCTGGAATGAAAACCCATTATAAACATGGACTAAGCAGTGAAGCTATAAGAACTGAGAAATAATAAAAAGTAATCAATACCAGATGGTCCTTCTCAGAAGAGAAATTAAAAAGTAAAAGCAATTTAAAAATAGTATAAATCAACTTTTTTACTAGATCTAAATATATATATATATATGTCCCGAAGATTTCCCACATGGCATATTTCTGAGTTACTTCCCCCCGCCCCCCAACACAATACAAATTATGCCTTGAATATGAAAAACAAATGCATACTTGGAAAAATACTAAACATCTCATGAGAAAAATCATGTTCTCTTTGTTCTTCATTCTTTTTCAAGTTTTTACCTAGTGGGACCAACACTGTCCCCCGCTACAGCGATAACATAAAATAACTGAGTAGTGTCTGGCTTTTCTGCTTGAAACACGACCAGGGGAAAAAAAGGTTCTTGTTAGAAAAAGGGCAAATCTTACTCTGATTTACACACATTAAACACGTCTGGCTGGAGGCAAAATTAGTATCTTTTCACTGCTGTTTATCCAGCAAAGATATCATCTAGTAAACACCAGGCCTACGGAGATGCTTTAAAGATACTTCAGTAGTCACCATCTTTGGGTTTTGTGTGCCCCATGGCTTCATTGAATTGTGCTTTCTTAAGCCAAAATGAAGCTTTCTCAAGAGATGCCTTATTGTTATAAGAGCTGATACTGTCTTCATCTCTAACATTTACTGACACTGAAGCCATGTTACATCAGAGTAACACTGCAATACGTTTAATGCATCAAAAGAATTGCTAGATTAGATGCCATTTGAATGTCTGAATACAATTCAGTCTATTTTCATTGTCTGTAAAAAAAAGCCGTTTCAGATAAATCTTTATCCCACATACATGAAGACAACCATAAATTAATTCAAGCCATTGTGATTCTTATACTTGTATCAAATGGATGTCTTAAGTCTATGAGGTTGTGCAAAGGCCTTATATATGCATTTGTAGAAGGATAATTTAAACATAAATATTTTTCAGGTCATCTGCATAGATTTTTGAGACTTGCATAGATTTTTCAAACGTGCTGAATATTATTGTGTGAATCAGGCACTTTTGGATATATTTTTATAACTGTCCAAATGATTTGTACACTTACAAAACTGTCCATTTTTTCATTTAGCCATAAGAAGCAGTCACAGACTCAGGAAGATAAAGGTTTATGGTGGTAGGTGACTTCTTACGCAAAAAGATTAAAGATAAGTGCTAAAAGGCACCGTATTCCTGAGCCACAAATCTAAATGTAAATGAAAAATGTTTGGGGGCTAATGTGAGAAAAAAGCTATGAAAGAGCCATTAAAATAATATCTGATTTTGAAGCAGAATTTAATTCAAGTCCTAAGCATTTCTAAGCTTTTAAAGCTGACAAGAATCAGGGACTTTCTCTCACACGCCACCATTTTGTGTATGTAAGCAACTGAAATCGCTTGGCATAGCATAGCAGAGAAGAAAGCACTGTAAAAGTAATTATACGTTTAGATGTGTAAATGGAAACGATGCTTTAATAAGAACATTTGAGCATATGATTAGATGTTCTGGTCTTTCAACTAGATTTGTCTATCTGAAGCATTTGATGGCTTTTCATCCAATTATTGAATAAATATGATAGCTAACGACAAGTTACTACAACATATCATTTTTATGTTGCATCCATCTATTGTATCTTTAAGGTGCCTATTACTGTCCTGTTTAAGTGCCAGTCCTATTCTGAATTGCCTCCATCCATGTAATTATACAACGACAATCAAAGCAAAAGGCTAATTGAATGTATCTTGCAAATACCTTCTTCACAGCTCTCGCCTTTGTATCCTGGGTTACAGATACAGGTCCCCATGATGCACGTGCCATGGTTATTGCAGGAGACATCAATGCACTGGTTCGTCGGGACGTCACATTCTGCTCCTTTCCAACCGCTGTGGCACAAGCACCTCCCTTTCATGTACTGCCCATTTCCACTGCACAGCACTGGGCAGGAGGCTGGGGAAAGATAATAGAAACCACGTTAAAACACAACTGTTCACAGCTTTCACCGCAAAAAAGAGCACAAGAGTCCGGCATGGGATTTATATTCTTCATGCACAGTCTTCAGTGGGATACGTTGTTCTTTTCTTTGCCAAAACCAACTCTTTTACATGGATGACACCCAGCTGTTAACCGTATTCTCCTATGAATGTTTAAAACAAACAAACAGTGCTCTTGAGCTAGAATATGTCCTTGCTTTGTGTCTCTAATCCTTTTTTTCACTAACTGAACTCATAATTTTCTTGTATTCTGACTTTTCAATGTACTGGTGTCTTCTTTCAGCAGCACCTCTGACCTTAGATTGCTTATCAGTGTCCCTGACCTGCTGCCAGACTTCATACTTTCCTTGACACTGCCTCTGCTGTGGACCTTAGCTGTACACAAATCACTCCCCTGTTTTTCTGTTGTAATTCTCAGCTTTACGGGTTTCAGTTGCTTTGCTCAGAGTCCAGAATGCCACGTTGAGACTATTTCCCTGATTTAGCTCATGTCATACCAGCAACTGAATCTCCAGCCCCCTTTTTTTGGTTATCATCACCTCTGCCGGACTCCATTCATCGTCAGAGACAATGCAAAACTGGCCTCTAGTCTTTCCAAGCTCCCAGCAATAAAAGTTCTCCAAATCTATCCTCTGATCTTTGTATCAGGTTGTAAAGGATTTTTTAATTGTCCTTGTTTCTGGCAGAGCTGGCTGATTCTCAAGGCCAACCAGATACAGGATTTCTTCCCCATGATAAAGGGGAGAAGAGAAAGATAAGCTCAAGCTGTGGCATGATGCATCCCAGGATTAAGCGTTTTTTGAGATAAATTTGGAAATTGTAAAGCAGAGTGGGATGGGATGAACTGAAGGATACAGAGCAGAGTCCTCAAGGAAGGAGAGGGCATCAAGGACCAGATCCCAGCCTCCGTGACCAAAGCTTTGGTAATTGCTGTTCTCTAAGCTTCCTTCAGCTCCTCTCTGATGATGCCTTCTCCCTTTCCCATTCTCCACACCTGCCACCTTATGCTCCTTTTGCCCTCTCTTCTGATTTTTCCAAGGAAGCTGCTCATTTCTGTCCCTCAGAAACAACAGCCTTCCCCTGTTCACTATCCATTGAAACTTCTTGCTTAAGCCCTCTTCATCTTGCTTAAGCCATTTCATTTTGCTGAAACTCAGCTGCAAGGACATACACTCAACACAGACTTCTCTTGTTCACTGTTGCACATCATCCTTAGGTGAGAGCAGCTGGGCTTCTCATCTGCCCCTCAGAAAGGCAATTTATGAAAATTTTTATGCAGGACAAATGTGAAAGGAATATTCCAGTCTGCTGCTTAATTCAACTGCATTAGACATGTGATGAATACAATGTACCTCTTTTGCTTTGTTCCTGACTGATTATATGCGGGAAGAGGTATTAACACGGTTAAGGGAAACATTCGTCTCCTTCTCTTCCCATCTTTTCAGACAGTAATCGCACAATGCGCATCCTGTGTTGTCTCCGTGTGTCCTTGTAGTCAAGCCGGTTTGAGTATTACAGAATTATAGCAACCTCAATAAAACACAAAGCATTGCCAGCTCTGACTGTTAAGCCAGTTTGATATGCAGTGAACTATACTTGCCTGACCAAGATAAAAGAGGTTTAAAGAAGAAAGGAATTTGGCAACTGTTATTACTAAGGAGCCCTCTGTTCACTTTAAAGGAAGCACATTGCAGTGGTGCGTTTCAAGTGCATCATTTGCAAGGAGATATCTACCTATACAAGACATAAATTGTTTAAGATACACTGTGTTGTGTACATGGTTCACAGCAAACTCACTCTGTAATTTCACTTTTCTACTAGGCTGATGGAATTTTCCGCCCCCCGGGTCTCAAATTTCAAATGCTCAGTAATGGAGCCTGTTCTTTCAAGGCACTGGAAGAGGATAGTCTGCAGCTCTTTTCAACAAGAAGAAAGAATAATTGCCTTTAACCAGTGAGAGTTTTCTGAGAAAGACTTACATGTTTTCTGACAAGACAGCTGATCACTCAGTACAAGATCAGATAAATTACTGGCCATCTGCAATAAGACTGGTACTCTACAGAGCCCTCTATGGAGAACACCTTCAGCATAACCTGGAAAGTGCTGCTGCAAATGTCAAGGCAATGGCAAGAACAAGACCTCCTTTGTAGCACACCATAATGAATAAAGACAAAAGAGGTTTCTGGATTTTTTCCACTGCTACTTGTGCAACTTTTTTCTGTATATAAAGATATATAATTACTGTTTGATCATTCAGATTCCAACAAACCATATCTAAGATGCCAAAATTATAGTAACTCCCTAGTGTGGCTATGGTAGCAACAATGTAGATGCACACCACTTTTCTTGTAAAGTTTAGCATCAGAGAGTAAGATCATCCGTTCCTTTGTTTATTTTATACAGAACTTTAAAACATCACCTCCCATGTTCAAGTAGGCCTTCAAAAGGCCCCTGAATACACCTCTGGTGATTTGTTCTCATTTAGTTGGTTTAAAATAATTGGTTAATAATACATTAATAATTAACCATTATTAAAAACAAAAGGGCATTCTGCTCCACAGTTTTCCACTCATTTGGACGGTGAATTACAAGGCTGAATTGAAACAAAGGAACACCCAGGAAATCTATGACCTAGAAATCTTCACGTGGGCAGAGACCTGCATATTTAAGGATTACTGCTCAGTACCGGGAACGACATACGGCTGCAGGTAGATACTGTAGCAGCCTTACACATGCCACGGTTGCTGCCCTCTGAGGGATTTGTAGGTCGAAAGCTGCATCTTAGATTCCCCCGAAAACCACCAGGAAGCCAAGGCTGGGGCACCGGTATCTCATGGCAAGGTGATCCATTTAACAAGCCCACTGGGTGGAAATGCATACACAAATCTCATTTCGACACTCCAGGTATTAATCTGTCTTCCTAAAGGCAGAGCGTAATCTGTGATCTGAACCCAGATGATTCTGAACCAAAAGACAGAGTCAAACAAGAGGTGTTCCTATCAGCCAGAGTAAGCACTCCAGTGAACTGGGAGATACTCACGTGGCTCAACTGAAGTGCCTGAAAAGCTAGGTGTATAACCCATGAAGGGAGGTAAGCTCTTCTGAAAGTGGATTCAGAACAAAAGTTTAAATATTCTGACTCACAGTGCAGGAGCTTCTCCTTCTCCACTGACTGTACAGGGAGCCTTGGGAGGAACAAACCCTGAACTTCTGCCCCTACCTAAGGTTAGGAGGTGTGAGTAGGAATATGCTGTGAGAGGTGGAAAAAAACCCTCCTTTTGTCTCCAGCTCTATGGATTTGAAAAGGAGCTTGGAAATGCAAACCAAGTGTAAGGAAATGCAAACCAAGTGTAACCTGAGTCAGCAAGAAGTTTGACAGAACAGCTCTCAGGGATGCAGATTGCCACATCCATCTTACTGGGCTGTGAACTCTGAAACACCTCCGGGGTTTTCGCCTGGACCACACAGCCTCAGCAGAGAGCTCCCCGCCTGCGGGGTGTGCGGCCGTTCTTATCTCTGGCCGGGCTACAGTGATGTGACCCAAGCTCAGCTGGAGGGGGAGAGGACGAGGGGTTGGACAGAGTTTAGCTCTCTCCCTTGGGAAGGAGCCAGCCTGCTTTCCAAAGAAGCAATGGGCTGGGGTGAAGGCCTGACCTGTTGCTTTAGCAAAGCTCCTTGTGTGGGTACTAAATTTTTACACTACCTCCCTCCCCAAATTTCTAAATCTGTACTTAGTTTGCTGGACTGTTGGAGCCAAAAAAGGCCTTGAGAAGGTTGATGCACCGCATTCTGGCATTTCCCACATGCAACGTTTTGATTTCTCGGTCTGAAATGTGTTCTTACTGAAAGTACTTCAGTTTGTTTTTTAAATGTTTAAATAACCTAAAAATTTCAGGTCAAACGAAAATCCTTCCAAAACCATTTATTAAAAATACTTTTCACTTCAGCAGAAAAATGTATTATATTGTTTGCTGGGGTAAACCTCCTTCCCAGTCGTCCCAATGTTTTCACTTTTGGCCAGAGTATCCAGTTCTTTCTGCCATTACTCCACTCCTAGCCCTACTCTAACGCTGCCCCGCTCCTCGCCGCCAGGCTGTCAGCGATCACTCATAGCTCAGGCAGACTTGCAAGGCCTGCAGCAATGAAAAAGGTACTTAATTTTTGTATAAACAGTGTCTTGAAAGAAAGTATCATTATAGGGTCGTGCCACACAATGATAGAGTGCTCTGCTAAACGAACAATAATGCCACATTTATAAGTCACGTTTTCTAAAGTCGCTTCCAGAGAGAAAATTCCCAGTGGGACATTTTGCCTGTCCATACACAGCTAGGGGTTGTGTTGCTGCTAAGATCACAGCAATCATGACCAGTAGCAAACAAATCCACAGATCCAACCTGTTTCCATTCTGCTGCAGCATCCCCAAGCTGGGTGAGATGTCCTTTGCAAAAGGCACAGGCATGAATATAATTTCCACAAGAAAATGTTAACTGAAGGGGAGAGGGGAAAAGTTAATCAAGTATAAATTCCTACCTCTGCCACAGTCCGGGCCCAGAAAGCCAAGGAAGCAATGGCAAGTCCCAGACACGCAGTCTCCATTCCCATAGCAATTACTGGGACAATTATCCACTGATTCTGGAAAACAAAAGAGAATTCAGATACTTCTTTAGGCAGGAAAACACCTCTGAGTTTGGGAGGGCTCTGGATGGCAGGACAGCTGAAACTTCAAAGCAATCGCTGCGCTTGGGGCTGAAAGCATTAGTCTGAGCTCCACTAAACGGTGCTCATCCATTTACACCGATGGATGGTTCAACTGTAACACATTAGTTTTTTCTCCTTGCTTATTTTTCCAACCATTTTCCCTCTTTGAATTCATTGGAGAGAAGCAATACACACCGTTCTCAGGGCAGAATGCACCTTCAGTCCGATTTTGTTGACTCGGGTAAGTGAACTTGGGGCATTTATTTGTGCCAGAGCTGGGCTACGACAGAAATGTTCCCCTGTGAAGTTACTGAGCACAGACCCTCGGTTCATCCCGGCTGCCTGTTGATGGATTATTTCCAACCGAATGCCTTCTGGTTTGTTCTGCAATATTACACAAACAGCCCAAAGTGCTGGGGCTAATATTGTATCTTAGGGGAACAGGAATGGGACTATTCCACACTTTCTTCTGTTTCTAGTTATCATCTTAAATTCCCTGACTTTGGCAAAAACACTGGCTATTCATCTTTCAAGGAAAGTTAACAGGTAAGCAAAATGTTATCTAGCACTTCTATTTTGAGGGCAGTTCAGAATATTGGGGCTAAAAATTATCTTTCATAAAAGAACGCAAGCTGGTAAACATTACATATCAAAAAGAGAATGAAAATAATTTCATTTTCTTGACTAAACTGTGAGTGAAGACTGAGTATATGCGAATGGGGCTTGGAAAAAATGATGGAATACCATAGTTCATTCCACACTAATTCACATTTTCTCTGAGGGAGATACGTATCAGATTAAAACTGGATTCAGTTATACAGGAGGGGCAGCGGTGGTACATCTGTCATGGAGCGGGGTGGAAATCTCAGCCATGTGAATAATGACTCCGCTTTCATAGACATACTTCACGAGGCCTTGTGGTAGCAAAGATGTTTGTAAACCTCCTATCGGTGCGAGTGAAGAGAAGCAGCTGCAGCAGAGATGTGCAGATTAGTTTCTAATCAGAAATGAAAGGAAGCCTGTTTCTGGATGGGTGTGCTCCAAACAACAGAGGTTTCTGAAGGACATTTTAAAGGACGTGGTGTAATTTAATCCTTCATAAAGGGCAACAGCAGTTTTAATTAATGAAAACGGTTTCAAGTATTTATGTTTTAAGTCTTGGCATGAGACATCTCATAATCAGATAGCTCCATGCCGCAAAGAAGGTACAAGGAAGTGCTGTCAGTTTTTTAACACTTAGGCTCTGCAGTTAAGCAAATATTCACTTTACGGTGTATGGAAATACAATCACAGCATGTAGTCAACACCTTGGGCTTGAGCTGCCATCTTTATTCCAATCAAATAGCAGCCATGCTTCCTAGAATAAAGAAATAGCAATTGTGCATTTATGCTGATATTTAGGCATACTAACTCTCACTTAATAGCAGGTATAAACACAAGTCTATCCTGTAAATGAAAAGTTAATATTAGCCTGTATCTATAAAATCTTCAGAACTTTGTGATGTTTTAATTTCACTGCTGAAAACGAAAATAATTTTGCTTTATGCATTTTTTCTCTATGCTTTTATTTACAATGTTTATACCCTTCTTGTCTTCAAGAAATATATGCAGAAATTTAGAAAAAAAAAGTTATGTATTTATGCACATACACATATTTACACATAAGAAAAACATACACAGTGTGAATACTGTGAAACAAGATAACAAGATGGGCAAGGAGATTTAATGGCTCCCGTTGCGGAAAGGGTCAGTCCTTTTCCTCTAATCCTCTCATCCCAGGTACAAGCCTAAGCTCCCTCTTCTTCTGCTGGTTCTGGCACTTGTCAGACCCTCCAATGAGTTGGTTAAGCTCAAAAGGTGGCAAAAAAATTAATGCAGCAGAGAAAAAAACAAGTGAACTGTTTTCTGCTGCCTGAAAACTGGGAGCAGAAGGAGTAGGGCCACGTTACTCAGCGTGAGGGCAGTACTTAGACATCTCACGAAACCTCACCATCACACTACCATTCTGGGTCAGGTCTGCAAGCTGTAGCAACACGGCATAGAGGTTACGTATGCACGACCTTTGAAGTCAACGGAATGCCTACGTCAGCGCTTGATGCAGGACAGACTCCCAGTGTTATGACAACACCTACAGTATATTAAAAACTCTTTTTAAAAGCTTTCTTCAAGCTTTTGCTTTAAAAGACTAAATTGTGTCCTTGAAAAGGAATAAAATATCCATACAACTTTCTTGGTATATTTATGTAATATAATAAATAATATTTATTCAAAATAATAAAAAATCAAAGCAACATTTAAGAAGCAGTGTAGCATCAGGCATGGCGGCTGTTCCAAAGTGTAACAGTGCGCCACATCAGCTAAAGGGTAATCTGTGTTACTGGAAATAATATTTTGCATTTATCACAGAATCATAGAATCATAGATTTGTTAAGATTGGAAAAGACCCTTAAGATCATTGAGTCCAACCGTTAACCTATCACTACCAAGTCCACCACTAAACCATGTCCCTAAGCACATCTCCCCAGCTTTTAAATACCTCCAAGGATGGAGACTCAACCACTTCCCTGGGCAGCCTGTTCCAATGCTTGACCACCCTCTCGGTGAAGAAGTTTTTCCTGATGTTTAACCTAAACCTCCCCTGGTGCAGCTTGAGGCCGTTTCCTCTCGTCCTATCACTCATTACTGGGGAGAAGAGACCGACCCCCACCTCGCTCCAGCCTCCTTTCAGGTAGTTGTAGAGAGCAATAAGGTCTCCCCTCAGCCTCCTCTTCTTCAGACTAAACAACCCCAGCTCCCTCAGTTGCTCCTCCTAAGACTTGTGCTCCAGACCCTTCACCAGCCTCGTTGCCCGTCTTTGGACACGCTCCAGCACCTCAATGCATGGTTCAGCTGATGTACTTGTGATGCCTAGGACAAGACGGGAAAGACTCAGTACACCAGTTAGATGTCTACTGTAGATTAGACCAAATGACTCTCGTCCACCACACTGACTGTATAATGGGATCCAGAAGTTCAGAGTGACCACAGAAATGAAGCGTACCTGTGTTTAGGTAATCAAACTTTCCTGACTCTTAGGGTGAATCCATTTAATGAACTTTACTCCAGTGGTGCGTCCTTTCCTCCTCTGACTAGTTCAGATGCAGATATTGTCAGCAAAGACACTTATAATTGGTCAGATCCCATCCACAGTGACTGAAACTAATGCATGTCAAAAAAAATTCACGTATATTTTTTGACAGATCTGGCATTTCACTTTGCAAAAATGCAATGATATGCACACATATCACTTCATATATCACTGTCTCCTCAGTCCTTGATTTACCAGACTCTTCTTTGCAAACGTGCCCTAACTGTATCATACCATGTTGTGGCCAACAGAAAAGGAACAAAAAAACAGGTGAATGAAACCCATTGTACCTTCTTCACTGAAGCACCTCAGAAACTCCTAACAGTGGCCTGACCACCCTATACTATTAATAATGCAGCAGGGCCTTAAAAATCCCTTCATCCTCCTTCATTGCTTTCTCTGATGCTCCTTGTTTTTCTAATATAGCCAAAAGTAACATTTCCAGCGTGCTCTCGTTTTACACACGCTCACTTTGCACTGGAATAACCTGCCTGATAGAGACAAGATGAAGTGAAAAGAAACTCCTCCCCTGCAGTGGCTGGTGCCACCTACCATTTTTTAGCAGTTAAGCATCCAAACATGCCTGGTGTGACTCAGGGCAATTAAGGTCTCTGCACACTCCCAAAAGTTCTTCACTACTGAGAATCAAACTCTGAAAAGAGATGAAGATTCATGCAGTACCTCTTTGCCTCAAAGCTACTCCAAAACAACTCAAAGTATTTCCATAAAGGAAGTGTTAAATGAACCTGCTTTTTTCTCATGAACTCCAGAGCTAATGAGAACAAACAAGGCTTGTGACGAGGCTTGTGATCAACAAGCCTGAGAGTTGTGTGTGCAATACTGAGCATGGTCCTATTTATATTCCTAGGTACAATCACAAACCAGAATTTCTTTTTACTTTGAAGATTGCAGGCATTAGGAAGTCATACGCACTTAAGACTTCCCATAAAAACCTCTGTCTTCATCCCAGGACTGAATTTAGTTTCAGTGGTTGCAGACTGTGCCAGCTGGAGAGCTGACTTGACTTTCCGTCCCTTCTGAAATGTATACCTGGTACGTGCACACACATCCGTGCACACTGCTCCAATACCTAACTTTCAAATTAAACAGGAGGTGATGGGTGCCTTGGCATAAGAAATTAGGGAGTCATCATGGGGGAACCCTAGAAAGAATGAAGAATCAAATGGACAAGTTTGCACATCTGTTGCAGAACCTAGGACTTAGCCTAATTATTATCTAATGGGACTTAGATGACAGAAGAGATCAAACTCTTAACTTTTAGGAAGACCTTAAGTTAGTGGCACAAAGCAGTTATCTGTCTTTTAAGTATGTCCATAGTCAACATTGCTACAGAGGTGACAAACTGTCAATCAATAAATAAAAAACAGGTCACTGCAGTTATGGCTAGGTTCTAGTCTCCATTCTACAAGTTATTCTGTAAGCTGTTACACATAATTATACGGTTATTTTCCAATATATACAAAATTCCATATGGTGTTTTATGAATAATGCTATGGGAACTGCTTTAGAGAATCATGACAATGTTTTGTTTTGTTTTGTTTTGTTTTATTTAATTGTTAAAAAGTTCACTATGAGACCATGGACAATTCTTTTTTAGAAAGTGATATATGTTCTGTGTTTTCAGTCTGACTCCCACAGCTTTCTCTTGGCTTCCAGATCTCTGATCTGATTGACACCAGCTGGTGAGGGCAATGATTATTAATTGGAGGGTCAGCCAGTGGAAGATGCATGATGCTTTCATATGGTTTTGCTATCGTGTCCAAAGAGAACATTGAAAATGCAGCTC